AATATAGTTTTATTCAATATTTAAAAAGATATTATACAAAAAATATAATCCTATGTAATATTAAAATTCAAAAGATAAATCCAAAATATATCTAAATAGATAAAAATAACCTATATCGTAATTAATGTTTATTAACTAGAAATAAATTATTAATTAAAAATAAATGAGTAACTAAGAATAAATTAACAATTAAGAACTAAATTTGATTTTTTTTATTTTTAATGATGATGAGAGTATTTCAAGTATTGAGTTTTAATTTCCAATAAGAATTCTTACTTTTTATTGTAAAAATAAAGATATTTTTAACAATAACACATAATATAATTCATTATTACTCTATTTAAAGACATGAATTTAACAAAATGTATTTGAATTTGGACACTTTAAATTTAATATTACTGTTTGCTTTTACTTAAATAAAATATAAATAAAATACATGTATTTTGCACAGGGTATTTGAAAGACTTAAAATCCGTGAATTTCAAATTCATCTTGAAACCCATGGATTTCAATTTCAAACCCTTGCGTTTTCTCCACTCCCTGACGGCGATGAAGCCTTCATCGTCAACTCCGCCGCTGCTCTCTCACCTTCTTGTTATTGACAAATTTTCAGGTATGATCTTGTATTCCTTTTTGCTCACCCGTGTAATTTCTCTCTTGAAATGGAAATGGAATTTGGGATTGTGGCTTGAGATTGTTGTTTCTTTCATAATCTAGAATCTCCTCTTGCTTGTGACATTTTGAAACTTTCTATGGAATTTACCAAGTTATGGGACCGACCCAACATTGGGTTTCCTTGACTTGGGAACCTTGTTGTATTTTGTTTTATAGTGATAGATGCTTGGAACTTGTGGCATGTTTTATATTTTATTGGAATTTTCTCTTTAGCCCTTGAAAGTGACTTGTCTGATGGTATTCTTTTCTTCATTGGCTTTCTGAACTTTAGTCATGAAATCCTTTGCAGCAATTTGATTTTGTTCATCATCTTTTCTGGTTGAGTCCAAGTGTCATTGTTTACTAATTGGGTTCTTCTTATCTCAATTTAATTTTGCCTTCTTCTCAGGGTATTATTTGTGCAAGTGTCAATGAGTTTTGTTTCTGCTTTGTCATTTTGATGCTTAAATTTGTTGTAATGAGAGCACATAGTGTTGTTTAGCACTGGAAAGAGATGTGATTTTATGGTGATTTTATTGGATTTAATTGGGATGGGATTTGGCTATAAGAAAAATAAACTTCATTCTTATGGTGGAAACCTTGAGAAAGGGCTTGTTCTAGTTTAGTAACTTGGTTAAATCTGGACTTCTAGAGATATTCTCGTACAAAAACATTCACCTCATTTGTTTTGGCTAAATCAGTATCTGTATGGTGTTAGGTATCCACTTGGGAGGCTGAAACAGACTCACTAGCCACCATTAACAGAGAACATATATTTTATAATAAAGCCATAGGCTATTCAGGATTTTCGATCATGGTGTTTTAGGGTCCATTTTCCTTGAAGCTATAGAAAAGGCAAGAGCTGGACCATTTTTCCACTTTGCTTCAACTTTGGTTTGTAGGCCAAATGGGAGTTAAAAGAGACATTCCTCAATAATATTATATCAAGAGGTTTCCCACGGAACAATTATCCCTTAAAATTAACTTCTTCTTTTTTTCAATTTGTTTGTCTTGAGGTAGTTCAAATAATACCTTGAAAAACTAAAATTATTTACTTTGGTTTTATTAAATTTAAATAATGATAAAAAGAATATTTAATTTAATAGAAAAAATTTAATTTTAAATACATAATATTTTAAAATATTTAAATAATAAATTTAAAAATATATATTTAAAAATTATTTTTTTTATTTCAATCAAACAATATATTTTAAAATATATATTTTCTAAATACATATATTTTAAATATATGTATTTTAAATACACATTTTAAATTTAAATATATATTTTCAAATACAACTTATATGTTATTTAATTTAATTTTTGACGACGAATGTCATCAAAAAAAGGTTACGGAGTTTGATACGAAGAGGTAGATACGAAGAAGGGTAGAGAGAGAGTGAGAAATAGAAAAGGTTAAGAGAAAGTGAGTGGAGGTCATGATTTAAGTATTTTATTTATTTTTAATTTTAAGATTTAAATATTAAAATTTTTAAATAATTTCATAAAATTTAAATTATTTTATTTGTATTTTTTTTAATAAATTTATAAGAAATTGAATTCAAATTATTATTTTAAAAAATATATATTTATATATATATCCTGATGTCACTATTAAAGATCCAAATACTGTACCTCATCTTATTTGAGTTTGAATTATTTTTAATTTTAAATTAATATATAAAATTTATGCCTGATTCATAATAAATAAATTAAATCAAAAATTTAAATTCGATACAATTTTACCAGCTCTAACCAACACGTAAAGCTGCTCTCCGTCTCGCACAAGGGTCATTGATCGCAGGTCTATCCCATTGGTCATTTTCTGTAGCTATGCATTTATGATGATTTGACCGTCTTGCCGGTTGAAGCTTACATTAGATAGGGACAATATTTAGCGAATACATGGTTGATGTCGAGATTTTTTTGCTATATTTACGAAGTTTGATTAAATAAATAAAGATGTCTGTGCATCAAAAAAAATAATAATAATAAATAAAGATATCTAATAATTTAATGATATTTATGATGATTTTTTTTGTATAATTATCATAGAATTGGATTGAATTATTTTTTGAGAGAAAAAAAAAATATTTACAAGAGTAATAGATGTTACTCGATCTTATAAATCAAGTTATAGAGATCTTATATTTACTTGTATTGCAGTTATAATTTTTAATTATAAATAATTTTTTATTTAATTATTTATATTAATTATAAGTATAATTTAAATTTATTATTAATACTATAAGTTATGTTTCTTATTTTAATCAAGTATAGTACCATGGGATAAAAATTTAATTATAATATTTTATATTAATATAATTTCTATTTTTTTTATAAAAAAATAATGTAACTTTTTTTAATTAAGACTAAATTTCAAAATAAAACAGAATCCACCTTCTATTTTAATTTTTTTACCAAATATCCCTTAAAAATAATAATATAATAAAAAATTAAAAACCGCACCCACTTACACGTAAAGGTCTCCGTCTTGCACAAAGGGTCATGGATCACATGTCTACCCAATTGGTCATCTCTGCAGCAATACATTTAGGATGATTTGACAGTCTTGCCAGTTAAAGCTTTGCATTAGATGGGGACAATATTTAGCGAATAGACGGTTGATGTCGAGATTTCTTCCTATATTTATGAAGATGATTAAATATGTAAAGATGTCTAATAATTTAACGACATTTATAATGATATTTTTTATTTTAGTGAT